AAATTCGACTGATAAAACCAACGCACATTGCGTCATTTGGACGTCATGACGTCATATATTCAACCATACAGATTTCTAGGGCCAGAATCCCTGTTTATATAATTATATTCAACTACTCCTAGCTAATTAACGAAATAATTCTTAGTTTTTAAATCAATTTTAACAGTCTTTTAAAGGTCCATACCATCAAATAAAACTGGTAAAACTAACGCACATTGCGTCGGTTTGACGTCATGACGTCATAGATTCAACCAAACATATTTCTAGGGCCAGAATCCCTGTTTATATAATGATATTTAACTACTCGTAGCTAATTAACGAAATAATTCTTAGTTTTCAAATCAACTTTAACAATCTTTTAAAGGTCCATACCATCAAGTAAAACTGATACATCTAACGCACATTGCGTCGTTTGGACGCCATGACGTCATAAATTGAACTAAACAGATTTCTAGGGCCAGAATCCCTGTTTGTATGATATTCAACTACTCGTACCGAATTAACGAAATAATTTTTAGTTCTCAAATCAATTTTAACAATCTTTTAGAGGTCCATACCACCAAATAAAATTGATACAACTAACGCACATTGCGTAGATTTTATGTCATGACGTCATAGATCCAACACTCGATATTCGATATTCAGTATTCAACTCAATATTTAACTTAACTACTCGTAGCTAATTAACGAAATAATTTTTAGTTCTCAAATCAATTTTAACAGTCGTTTAGAGATCAATATCACTAAATAAAACTGATAAAACTAACGCACATAGCGTCGTTTGGACGTCATGACGTCATAAATTGAACTAAACAGATTTCTAGGGCCAGAATCCCTGTTTGTATGATATTCAACTACTCATACCTAATTAACGAAATAATTCTTAGTTCTCAAATCAACTTTAACAATATTTTAGAGGTCCATACCATCAAATAAAACTGATAAAACTAACGCACATTGCGTCGTTTGGACGTCATGACGTCATGGATTCAACCATACAGATTTGTAGGGCCTGCATCCTGTTTATATAATGGTATTCAACTACTCGTAGCTAATTAACGAAATAACTTTTCGTTCTCTAATCAATTTTAACAATCTTTTAGAGGTCTATTTCATCAAATAAAACTGATAAATCTAACGCACATTGCGTCGCTTTGGCGTCATAGATTCAACCATACAGAGTTGTAGGGCCAGAATCCCTGTTTATATAATGATATTCAACTACTCGTACCTAATTAACGAAATAATTTTCAGGTTATTGAAAATTATTTCCTTACTTTGCTACATGATGTTTGATATCAATAATTACACTAGGGTTGCAGTGCTGGAAATCTGTATTTATGAATCTATGACGTCATGATGTCAAAACTACGCAATGTGTGTCATATTTTTCTATGACGTCATGATAAATTAATGGGCGTTAATTTTATCAATTTAGTCGTATAGTATGGACTACTAAAATTTATTTTACTCTTGAAAATTATTTTCTTACTTCGCTACAGGACGTTTAATCTCTACTTCTCTACACTAGGATTGTGGTCCTGGAAAGCTGTATTGTTGAATATATGACGTCATGATGTCGAAGGTTCGCAGTGAGCGTTAGCTTTATCATTAGTATTTGATAAAATGGACCACTAAAGGTTATTGAAAGGCATTTGGTACCTGAAAATTATTTAGTTAATTTGCTACAAGTTGTATAATGGCATAAAATATGCAGGGTTGCAGTCCTGCAAATCTGAATCTATGACGTCATGACGTCAAGATGACGCAATATGCGTTAGTCTTCTCAGCCGAATCTTATAGTATGGACCGCTTAAGAATTGTTAAAAGTAATTTAATTCTTGAAAATTATTTCATTACTTTGCTACATCGCCTTAAGCATAATAAAATAGACCGCGGTTACGGCCCTGCAAATCTTTATTAATTAATCTATGACGTCATGACGTCGAAGCTTCGCAATGTGCGTTAGAGTTTTTTATTGAATCAGATAGTATAAACCACTTACAGATTGATACAAGTCATTCGGTTGCTTAAAGTTATTTCGTTACTTTGCATGAAGGAGTTAAATGTTAGTATCATATATATATTAATACAATGCGAATGCAGTCCTGTATTGTTGGATCTATGACGTCATGACGTCGAAACTTCGCAATGTGCGTTAGTTTTATTTGTTGAATCGGATAGTGTAGATAACTTAAGACTTGTTAAAAGTTATTTGATTACTAAAAATTATATCGTTACTTTGCTACAAGGCGTTAAATACTAGTATTATTAAATACAATTCGAATGCGGTCCTGCAAATCTATATTGTTGGATCTATAACGTCATGACGTCGAAACTTCGCAATGTGCGTTAGTTTTATTAGTTTTCTTTGATGGTATGGACCTCTAAACGATTGTTAAAAACCACTTGAATACTTAAAATTATTTCGTTACTTTGCTACAACGCGTCAAATATAATTAAATAGACCGCGGTTGCGGTTCTGCATGACATGACATGACATGACGGTATGACATGACGTCAAAACGACGCAATGTGCGTTAGTTTTATCAGTTTTATTTGGTGGTAAGGACCTCTAAAAGATTGTTTAAAATGATTTGAAAACTTAAAGTTATTTCGTTAATTAGCTACGAGTAGTTGAATACATGTATCATCATATAAAGAGGGATTCTGGCCCTAGAAATCTGTATGGTTGAATCCATGACGTCATAGCGTCAAAACGACGCAATGTGCGTTAGTTTTATCAGTTTTATTTAGTGGTATGAACCTCTTAAAGACTGTTAAAAGTGATTTGAAAACCAAAAATTATTTCGTTAATTCGGTACGAGTAGTTGAATACCATTATATAAACAGGGATTCAGGCCCTACAAATCTGTATGGTTGAATCTATGACGTCATGACGTCAACACGACGCAAGGTGCGTTAGTTTTATCAGTTTTATTTGGTGGTATGGACCTCTAAAAGATTGTTTAAAATGATTTGAAAACTTAAAGTTATTTCGTTAATTAGCTACGAGTAGTTGAATACATGTATCATCATATAAACAGGGATTCTGGCCCTAGAAATCTGTATGGTTGAATCCATGACGTCATAGCATCAAAACGACGCAATGTGCGTTAGGAACATGTGTTCCATTACGGGTTACCTGAGGTCACATTGCACGTAAGTCGTGTGTAATGACCCACACATTCAATTTTATGTGCCTAAGACCTTCAAAATGTATGAAATCTCGTCATTGTTAGTATTTGCATACCTGTAATAAGATTAGTAAAGCTTTCGAGATTCAATGTGCTTGTTCTTGCATCTTTGTTCTCAATTACATAGCTACTATATAATTCATTTATTTGAGAATCTTTGCCAGTTTTACA